GGTGGCTCCCCCTTGGGGCTCCCAAATGATGCCCCTGGCAGCGTTTTGTGATCATGAGGCTCTCAAGAGATACATGTTGGGGGCGCCAAACGGCAATTCTAGCTGAGACGTCCCACCAAAATCGGCGCGAACGGGCTCGTGAGATCAGCCAGGGTGGCTCCCCCTTGGGGCTCCCAAATGATGCCCCTGGCAGCGTTTTGTGACCATGAGGCTCTCAAGAGATACATGTTGGGGGCGCCAAACGGCAATTCTAGCTGAGACGTCCCACCAAAATCGGCGCGAACGGGCTCGTGAGATCAGCCAGGGTGGCTCCCCCTTGGGGCTCCCAAATGATGCCCCTGGCAGCGTTTTGTGATCATGAGAGAGTGTGAGTGTGAGCTTAACTTATCTTATCTTATCTTGAAATCTCTTCTTATCATATCTTGTGCTATCTTATCTTATCTTGTAGTATCTTATCTTGTCTTGTCTTATCTGGTGATTATCATTGGGAGGAGGGAGGCGCGAGCGGGAGGAAGAAGGAGGAGGAGGAGTGGGAGGCGTCAGAGTAATAACAAGAACCCCAATCCTTAGGATATGGGGAAAAAACCAATGCAAATCGACGATGTTGGCCTCGTCGGGCCGTCCCGGGACGCCTCTCGGACCTCTCTTGGGGTCGTTTGGAGGTTACCTGGGAGTCTCGAGAGCCGTCGGAAGGCTGACTTGGGCTGCTTGGGAGCGTCTTGGACCATCCTTTCGCATTCTGGGCGTTCCTGGGAGTCGTCTTGGGCACTCCTGGAGCGCTGTGGAGGCTCCCTGGATCGCCCGGGAGAGCGGTACCGCGAGCGTCCCCCAGATGTGGCAGGGAGGTGTGGCACTCGGGGCCAGGGCCGGGGGGGCGGTATTTATTTATTGATTGATCAATTGATTTATCTATTTATGTATGTATTCATTTATTTGTTTATTTATTTATTCATTTATGTATTTATCTATTCATTTATGTGTGTATTAATTTATGTTTGTATGTTTATATTTATTCATTTATATATTTGGTTATGTATGTATTTATTTTTCTTATATATATATATGTGTGTGTGCACATCCACCGCTCGCCGGGGCTCCCGAATACCCGATCCGCCAGGCGGTGTACATCCCCGGCCTCGGACAAGGTGCCCCCAGGATCTCCAAGGAAGCGCCTGTGCCCTCCATGGATCTCCCCTGTCAGGAGTGAGAGAAGGACGTACACGTACATGAATCCACGCTGGTTTCGAGAGTTCGCATTGCGCGAATGTTCGTATCACGCGGCCGGTCTCGCGGGTCAAGGGGCCGTGTTCATGTACATAGCTGGGCGCGTTTTTCCTTTGTGGGCTCCCTACCCTGACGAGACCCAGAGGGCCCGAGTGGCTCCAAAATGGAGCGGGATGCTGGGGACACCTTCCGGGGAACAAGCAATGCCAGACACATGAACTTTCGGAACTCGAGCTCTGCGCGGGCTTTCTGGATCGGCGCTGGACCCCCTCTCCTGGCGCGCGGAGCGCGCCAGGGGCGGCGCCGGAGTCGCCGCCAGGGGGGGGCCCGGCGCCGATCCGAGAAAGTCGCGCGGACCTCCGAAAGGTCATGTTCATGTCATTGCTTGTTCCCCGAACCTGCACTTGAGCAGCGCAGACAAAATCGACGTGCACCAGCGCGCAAGCTGCCAGCGTAAGGTCGCGCGTGAACGCCGTCGTTTCCGATGCAGCGTGCCGCGTTTGCGGCCCGCGTAAGCCACCGCGTAAGGTCGCTATGCCATCGTGCGTAAGACCCCCCTGAGGCCCGACGGCTCGGAAACATTCGGACACCGCTAGAAACCACGTGCCCGCAGCCCTCGACCCCACATTCCTGCGCCACTCCCTGGACCAGGTCGATCTGCATGAGCGTCCCGCGGCCCGGAACTTGCCGAGAACGCCCAGCTCAGAACACGTCGAGACGCCAGGATCTCGGGGCCGCTTCTTTTCCAGACATCCGGCTGCTCCAATTTTTCCAGTGCGTGGGCCCCGGAGGTCCAGACCACTTCCCCGGGACCGGTTTTTTGTCCTGAATTCGTTTTCTGGCGCTCCCGAGGACCGGCGAGGGCCCCCGGAGCCCGAAAACGGCCAAAAACCGCCTAGGCTCCTATTTTTTCGGAGCGTCGGATCTCCTGGTTTCCTCGCTCGCCGCGGGCCGGGGGCACTCCCCGAGAGGCGCCCATCCGGCGTGGCCTGCGGGGGGCCATGCCGCCCCTCCCGGCGCCCGCGCGCTCGCCGGAGCCCGCCCGTGCCGCCCGCGGGCTCGCCGGCGCCGGCGCCGGCGCAGCGGGCGGCGCCCAGGGCAGGCGGGCGGGGCTCGGGTGGAGTCGTGCGGCTCCCTGAGATCCGACGCAATGGAAAAATCAAGACGGAGGTTTTTCGCAAATTTCGGCCCCTTGGGGTCCTCGCCGGGCCTCGGGACCGTCCAAGAACGACTCAGGATGAAAAACTTGTCCTGAGGAATGGGTCGTGACTTCAGGGAGCCCCGTATTGAAAAAATCACGACATCGGATCTCAGGGGTTCCAAGGCCAGACGTGACATCGTCGCTTCGTAACAGAAATCAGGACGGGAGGTTTTTGGCCACCTTCGGCCCTGGGCGGCCCTCGCCGGGCCTCGGGGCCGTCAAGAAACGGCTATCGGGACGGAAGGCATGTCCCTGGGAACGGGTCCAGGACTTCCAGGGACGCCGCGCTGGAAAAATCAGGACGTCGCATGTTTGGGAGCGGGGCACCAGGGGGGTGCACTTTTGAGACGGGCGGTGCAGATGCCTCGAGCCCGCTTAAGCGGGGCGCGCCACGTCGTCGCTCAGCGCACTCCCACTCGCATCATTTCAAGTGTCATAATTACGGTGGGGGCCCAATGGGCCCGGCCCATGCCAAGAAACTGCCTGCTTGGCTTGAGGGTGCCCTGGGTTTCTTGGGTTTCGGTGGTTTTGCGATGGAAAGCGTGACGCTCCCACACCAGTTATCAATGGAGGTCTTGGGGTCTCAGGGTTGGGTTTCTTGTGAAAGGTTTCTCGTGGTCGGGCCCCTACTGTATATGCAACGACGCGGGTCTCAGAAGCCCCTTTCGCTGGCGTCCCTTTTACGAAACGCATCAGGTGGGCAGTGGCGGTGGACGTAGATCGGCGGTTCGAAGGAGGGGCCCTGAAGAATATCAGATCGGCGGCGAAATCCGAGCCACTCGTCGATCAGCGATTCAGGAAACTCGATGGGCGGCGGAAGTGGTGTTCGGAATTCGCCGAAAAGTTTGCGAAGTCCAAGCCCTACCCCCGCCTCCCAGCTGCTCAGGAGAATCGATGGTTGTCGGGGGTACGGTTCGGGTGCCGCCGTCCAGCCAGGGGAGCACATATATGTCCCGGTACTGCTACCCTTTCCTCGTTTTCGCATGGGTCTCCCGGGAGGCCCTCGTCGCCTCCGCTGGATTCGCCCCAAACTTCCTGGTCAGGACGCACCCCTGCGGAGGTCTGGGGAGCAGCGGTATCCGTATCTGTTGGTTCCCCCAGGGTGGAGCCAGGGGGGCCCTCGAGGAGGAGGGGCCGGACGCCTGGGTCGCGGCCTGGGCTGGAGCGGCTGTCCGCTTCCAAGGGGGGCGGCGCGAGGGCGCGAAGATAATCGCGGGGCCGTCATCGCGGGGCGCAGTGCGCTGAGTTCGGTGCGAGGGCCCCGAGGCGAAGAAAGCAGAGGATCAGAAGCATACTCTTTGGGAGTTCCGCGCGGATTTCTTGGATCTGCGCGGGGCCTCTCCTGGTGCCGCCTCTGGCACGCTCCGCGCGCCGGGGAGGGGGTTCCAGCGCCGATCCAAGAAATCCGCGCGGATCTTCAAAAGTGTATGTTTTGACCGCTTCTGATCCTTCCACTGAATATGGGGCCCTACGGACTCAGGACGAGGGGCCTCAAGCAGGGTACAGTGACCCGCAGAGCAAGCATGAGCAACTTTTCAAGTTTACTCCTGGATCCTTTCCCTTCGGCCCATTCTTTTGGCCGCTTTCGCTGGCCTCATCCCGCTCGTAGAGTGTTGGCATGGCCTTCCGAGGCCCTTGCATCCTTATCGTGCGTCCTTCCTACACGGGTTGACTGCACCCCAACGGCCCCCGTCCCTAATTATAAGGGCCCTGTCCTTGAACCGCCGAGTAGAGGCTCCTGTCGACAGGGCCGCGCTCGGTTCGGAGCACCAGGCGGCTCAGCCGCCCCCCCGCGCCGACCTCCCCGAGGTCTTCGAGGAGCGCCCCGGGAGGAGGTCCCTGGACGGGCGGGAGTGGGGCGACGGCATGGAGGAGGTGCGGCGCCTCATGGCCGAGGGCCTCTCCTTCGAGGAGGCCAGGCTCGAGCTGGTCCTGGGCCAGATGCGCCGCTGCGGCGCGGACGCGTCGGGCATGCCCTCCGACCCGAAGGCCTTCACCTTCCAGCACGCCGGGCAGCCGCGTGCGCGCCCCATCGGCGCCGGTGCAGTGCCGCTGGACGCTGGGAGAGCTGGGGAGGCCAGCCCCGGCGGCGCCGGTGCGGTGCAGCTGGACGCTCGGAGGGCCAAGGAGGCCAGCCCCGGCGGTGCCGGTGCCGTGCAGCTCGACGCCTGGAAAGACAAGGAGACCAGTAGCTTCGTCCAGACGGTCATCAAGGCCAAGGAGGCCATCAGGGCCAAGGAGGCCATCAAGGCCGGTGTGCTGCAGGCTCTGACGGTGGCCAGCCAGACGAAGCTGCCGCGGTTGAGCCTGTCCAGCGGGGAGTCCACGAAGTGGAAGCTGCCGGCCCCGGGCGCGCTAGGGGTGCCGCACGTGGCGCGCATGCGCAAGGCCGACAAGTGGTTCTTCGTCTCTGCGCTGCTGTTCTTGGCCCTGGTCCCCCTAGTCATGTTCAGGCTCGAGTCATGGGCCTCCCCGATGGTGCCCAGGACCCTGGTTCAGGAGGCAAGGTTGCCCGAGGATGCCGCGCCCCTGTGGCCGCCCGTGGATTCGTTGAGGCGCTGAGCACCACCTGACGCTATCTGCCGTGCGTCTCCAGGTCGAGCGCCTGGCCCTCGCGGCACGTGCTCCGCTCTTCTTCCTCCCCCCGCTGCCCCTCCTCGCCGCGCCAGGCAGCCCCGAGTGCCGCAGCTGGCCGCGAGGGCGTCGCGCGGAGTCTGCGCAGCAGTCCGCCCGCGCGGAGCCCCCGCGCACAGAAGCGCGCGTTATCTGGCATTGGCCTCTCTGTCCCTCGTTTTAGTCCGCGCCTCCTCCTCCAGAGGACTCTGGGGGGCGCCTCCTGGGTTCTCTCGTGCAGGGCCCCTCCGGAGGGCTGGGGAGGTCTGCCTCAAGCGCCCCAGAACCTCAATCGAGGATCCTCCTCCACCTAGTCCCTCGTCGCCCTCTGCCTCCACCTCCTCTGCCGCCGCCGCATTCCTCCTCCTGCTCGACCTCCCCGGACCCCCGACGTCGTGCTTTCCTTCACAGCGTGGGTCCCAGCAGGTCTCGGCCCCCTGGCTCGTCATTCTGCCGTAATTTCCTGACGACCCGCAGGGGCTCAGTGAGGGCCCCCAGAGGCCGGAAATGGACACAAGCCTTCTGTCGTGAGCTTTTCCCGATGCGATGGGGTCCTGTCAGCCACGAGCAGAGGTAGGTAGGGGGGGAGGCTTCTTGGAAGCACCCTGCTTCCTGGAAGGCGCGGGCCTTGTCTGTAGATGTAAGTCTGCCGCCTTCTACGAACCGGCTCGCTTCTGAGAAGCCTTCCCCCCTCCCCCCTACCCCCTCGTGCGCGCCGCCAATGCTGGTCCCTCCGGGCTCGGGGTCCAAGAAGCATCGGCCCTCGGGGAGGGGCGCATGCTGGCGGGAATGCCGACGGGGTCCCGGCCGTGGCGGCGAGAAGCTCAGGCCCAGGCCCGAGGGCGCCATGGAAGCGGTATTCTCGGAGCCCGAGCCCCCGAGCCTCGGACGGGGGTCCGGGTCCTTTTCCCTACTCCCCCTCCTCCTCCCCCTCCTCCTCCTCCTCCTCCTCCTCCTCCTCCTCCTCCTCCCCCTCCTCCTCCTCCTCCTCCTCCTCCTCCTCCTCCTCCGTGCTCCACCGCCCCCTCCCCGCCTCGCTCTCGCTCGGCTCGCGGAGCCCCTGCCGCGCGGCGTGCGATATACATACAGCCGCCACGCCCGCCGGCGCCCAGGGGCGCGAGCTCTTTCCGAGGTGGGGGGGTTCTAGCCAGACGTGCTCGCGTCGTGCAAAAATCAGGACGTGAGGTTTTTGGCGAGTTTCGGCCTCGGGGGGCCCTCGCCCGGCCTCGGGATCGTCAAAAAACGGCTCAGGATGAAAAACCGGTCCTGGGGAAAGGGTCGGGACTTCCAAGGACATAATATGAAAGCAATTCACGATGTCGCATGTCTGGGTGCGTGTCCACCGCCCAGGTCGGGACGATCGAAGTTGGCACGGAAATAATGGATACAAAGATCGACAGTCGTTCCTGTTCATGTTGGTCTGGACTCGTTGTTGGCCTCGTCGCGGACACAGAAAGCCGTCTGCCCAACAGCGGCCGCTATCGGTTTTGGTCGACATGTGTTGTTGGGCATCGTACCCATTTTTTCCGGACTCATTTCTGGTGTCCAAGCCAGAGAGCCAGCCCCATTGGACCCCAGGAGACAGTGGGTACGGACATATTCGGGCCCCTTGGGGCCCAAATTCCACCTCCAACTGTCAGGGGAGGAGAGAGTTCAAGCAGTGGCGACGCGTCGCGTCTTGTCTAAAGGCCCACCAAAGAATGTTCTAATAACCGTTTGTGGTCTGCACGAATGGTTGTCAGACACTTCTGGCTGAGGCTGTCTTGTTTTGACAGTTCTAGTAACATGTCGTGGTAGGCCTATAGGAATGCTGGGACGGTCCCTGCTCAAAGGGTATCGGCACCGTTGCCCGTCCTTCGTCGCAACGGCTGGATTTGCCGTGAAATCCAGGCCAGAACGCGCCCCGGGAGAGGTCTGTGGAGCAGTGGTATCGGCATCTGTTGTTACCCCAACCTTGGGCCCAAACGTTGCCCATGTCAACCACCGGTCCCTGTTGTCCCTGGGGATCGGTTCCCCAGGCGGCTAATATGCACAAGTTCCTGCCTCGCACTCTCCCGCGGCGGTGGTTGCCAAGGCCGCACCTTCGGTCGCAAGCGGCCGCCCGACCAGCGCCATCTTCTCAGACATCCGACGTCGCAACATTTGTAAAAAGCGATCCGCGATGCAAAAGTGATCCCAGGGAAGGCGTCGAGACCTCTGGGGCCGTGGGATTACATCTAGCTAGGCGAGCGAAGACTCGACCATATTAAGCAGCTGCGCGTAGCGCAGTGGGTGCCCTCTTGAACCAGTCAATCACATCCACTCCTGCCTGCGTTTTCTTATCATCCATCCGCGCGCCGCTGCGGGCGTTTCGCGCAAGCCTTCGATGCCGCCAGTGCCGCCAGCCGACACGACGGGACATGTCCTGTACGAGGTCCGAGTCCTCACGCGTTGACCCCTTGAGCTGGGATGGTACGGAGAAGACACATCATACGCGTCATTCCGTTTTGCAGGGAATGTAGGTCTTCTGTGCAAAAACGAAAGCCTCTTCTCGGGGGGTGATCTTGAGGCCACGTTGGAGCCCTCTTCCGAGATTCCCTTGGGGCCGTCTGGGGACCCTTTGGAGGGCCTCTCGGAGCGCTCTTTCGGTGTGCTCCGGTGTGCTCTTGTATGCCGTCGGGCCCCCCCCCCCTGGGGCCCTTTGCTTGCTCCGGCGGGAGTCCTCTCGGGACATCTTCGGGCCATCTCGAGGCGCCTCCCGGGCCCATCGGAAGCGAGCAGCACCCCTGGCACAGCGGATCGTGCCCAAGGCCGTCGGTCCCTCCCGCCACCTCGCCTGGCTTGCGGGTCGGAGGCCTCGGACATGTGTCTTGGGGTCCCTTCGGAGCGCTCTCGGGGGCCTCCCGGGGGCAGCTTCGGGGTCCCAGGAGGGGCCTCTGGGCGGCCGCCGCCACTCCGCCGCTATGCCTGGCGTTCGTCTGGTCGCGTGGGCAGGCGCGCCAACTGCGTGCAGGAGCGCGGGAAAGCTGACGCGCCAAACGCGCGCCAAGGAAAACCCGAGGCACGCCAAAGACGTGCCAGCACAGGAGGGAGGGAATCGGCGGAGGACGACGACGAGACTATGATCATGATGCGATAGAAGGACAGAGCGCTTCACGAGAACTGCATGAGCTTGTGCACGTTGCTGCCCGCTGGTGCAACGACGGCCACGCTTTCTGCGGAGTGCCCATTTGCACGGACTGCCCTCGGGAGTGCAAAGACAATTCTTCCACCGTGGAAGAGCCAGGAAACTTACACATGTTCTTACGGAGCGCAAGTTGCTTGTGCAATACTATGCGGGGAAGTTGTTTGGCAGACATCCTCTCCAATATTGTTGCATTGCGCACTCCAACAAAAACAGTAAAGGGCAATCCCCAGCAGACGCCGCAGACACTTGCAATGAAAAACGTCCCAATGCAGTATATCGGATTTGAGCACACACACACAAGAACTAGTGAGTAGAGCAGCATGCTACACACAACTCTCGTATACGAAGTCTGCTCGTCTGATCCCGAATGATGTTCGAGACCAGAATTCGTTCAGTTGCTTGAGTATTTTGTTCAGTTGTTCCGCTCGGGGCCGAGGGCTCGAACTGTCCGTTCGGGTCCCCCGTCTGGGCCCCTTCTTGGGACCGTTTTGGGGGCTCTGTCAGCCGTCTTGGAGGTCTCTTAAGCCTTCAGCCGTTTGGTGCCCTTTTCAGGCCGTTTTGGGGCCCTTATAACAGGCCTATGGGACCGTCTTGGAGCGATCTTGGGCGCCTCTTTGGCCGTTTTGCAGCGTCGGGGAGCCGAAGTAGCGAGGACGCCACAATCTTTCAAATACCTGCAAAGGAAATCAGTGAGTCGTGTTTTGGAGGCCTGTTGGGAGGCCTCTTGGAGCCTTCTTGGGGCGTCTTGGAGGCCTCCTGTGCCGTCTGGAGGCCAGGCCATCTTGGGCGTCTTGGACCAATCGTTCGGCGAGTCGGGGCCATCTCGGGCCGTCTTGGGGGGCTCTTGGAGCCCTCTTGGCCCGTCCGGGGGGCCCCAGCACAGTCGTGCGACAAGCCGCGCTGGACTGCGGGAGGTGGGGCCCTTGCGGGTCCGGGTCCTGTGAGAATCCCTACTCCAGAGGAATGAGGACTGCAACAAGGGTGCCTGGGGACACGCCCTCTCCCTGCCCGAAGGCACGGTGGCGGATAGTCCCCTGGCAGACAGACGAGAGCCAGGGGCGGGAGATCTCCAGAAACGCTGCGGCACCGCCCCGTGAACGCGGCCTGGGCGCCCCGGGTGTCCCGCCCCCACGTCGGCTTCGTCGTCGGCGTCGTCGTCGCAGCTTCGTCGTCGCCGGCTTCGTCGATGTCGCCGGCTTCGTCGATGTCGTCGACTTCGTCGACTTCGTCGTCGTCCTCGCCGTCATTCTCGTCCTCGCCGCCGTCCTGCTGCCCCTGCCCGTCCGTCACGAGCCTCCAGCGCGGGGACCCTCGCCCGCGCTCGCCCCTGGCAGCGCCAAGGGGCGCTCGCGGCAGGGCGCGCCCACGCGCCGCGCGCCCACACGTGCTCGCCCGTGCGGCGCTAGGCTAACGCCGTGGTTCACCCCGGAATGCAGCTTGAACTTCGAAGCGCCTGTCTTTGCCATTCGATGCTGTCCCCAACTGGAATCTGAGCCCCCCCCCCTCCTCCTCCTCCTCCTCCGCCTCCTCCGCCTCCTCCTCCTCCTCCTCCTCCTCCTCCTCCTCCTCCTCCTCCTCCTCCTCCTCCTCCTCCTCCTCCTCCTCCTCCTCCTCCTCCTCCTCCTCCTCCTCCTCCTCTCCTCCTCCTCGCTCCTCCTCCTCCTGCTCCTCCTCCTCCTCCTCCTCCTCCCCCCTCCTCCTCGAAAGCTGATCTTCCAGGCAGGCCGGCGGCCGCAGGATGACCGGGCGGCGGTCGAGCCGCGGCGGGGCGCGGCGAGGCAGAGGGAAGGGCGAGCCGCGCGAGGCGAGGGAGGGCCGGAGAGGGCCAGGGTCAAGTCGGTCGTGTCCCTCTGCCGGGCGAATCTGCTAAAATTTCAGAGCGTGAATTACCTACCCCGCTTTCGCTTCCAGGAAAAGCCAAGTCATACACCACGCGCCTCCTCGTCAGGCGGCCTGACCAGTACAGGCCGTAGTTTGGCATCGCTTGGTATCTCTTGGAAGCGAGGGTTGTCAAAAGCGAGGTAGGTTTGTTCCCCCCCAAAAAATGGTCCCAAAATCGTGTGGGGGCGACTGTTCTGGGATACTGTTTTTGTTTTTTTTTGCGCATTTCTGGGCACGTTTGACTCCTCGTCCAAGATCCCCCCGTCGGAGGACGCGCCCGACCTCGGGCCCTGGGGCGGCCAGGGGGGCCCCACGCGCAGGCCATGGGCGTTTTTTCGCGTGCGCCCCGGGGTGTGCCCGTCCTTTGGGGGGGGCGCAGGGCGGGCAGGCGCCGCACACGCGCGGGCTGTCTCGGAGGCCCGCGCGGAGGCTCTCCACGGCGGCGGCGGGGTGCGCGTGGCAGTGGAGGCCCACGCCAAGCAGCTGTTCGTTTCGCGTCGGCGGCGAGGCGCCGGCTCCAATCTTGGAGCCGTGTTTGTTGCCGTTTCCAGTCGCCGTTTTTTTTTTGCCGTTTCCATGCTCAAGGGAGTTGTTTCGGAAGCGGTGAAGAAACGGCCCTGCCGTTTCCGGGGCCCACCAGGACCAGGGCCACGCCCGGCGGGCGCAGGCCCGCAAAACATGGCGGCCGCGACGCCCTCTTTTTTGGGGTCATGGCGCCAACATCGCAGAGCGGATGCCGATCGGAAAGCGACAGGACAGGCCCGGGGTGTCCTGGAGAACAGGGCTAGGATCGGGATAAATCGCTCCAGAGCGTTCGGGAGCGCTCTCAGAGCGTTCCGGAACGCTCTGGAGCGGCCGCGGCGCCCAATACATCCTCCAAACCCGCCGATTCTCAGAGATTTCGAGTTATCCCGATCCGATTTTGTCCCGATCGTCGCGTCGTTTTATCCTGGAGAATTGCGTTGCGGGTTTCGAGGTGGATGTCGTGCGGACTTTTTTTGTTGGTCAGGAATGAGACCAGAAGAGCCATGCGAAATTCACGTCGTTTTTCACTCGCCGTTTCTGGGTTGTGCTTTGGCAGAAATCCACGCAACAAATCCGCTGCAGTACGTCTTCAAGGTCGGTGCAGTGACAGGGGCTGTCTGCGCCAGCGGTAAAGTGCCTGAACGGGGGTGCCGTTGGAGCGACTGGTGCCACCACGCAAGAGGGAGAGCAGGAGGAGGACGCGGCCGTGCCACGAAGCACCCTGCTTGCTTCCAGGGTGCCCTGGGTTTCTTGGGTTTCGAGGGCCCTGCGACGGAAAGCGTGACGTGCCCGCGCCAACAATCAGCGGACGTCCTTGGGTCCCAGGGTTTGGTTCTTCTTGTGGAAGGTTTCTTCTGGTCGAGCCCCTACGGTCGGGGCGCTGAAGAAAGGAACCCTTTTCGTTGAGGAGGGGCTCGGTGTTCCTTGATTGCGTTACAGTTTGCCTCGGGTTCTCCTTGGGTTTTCCATGGGAAATCGAAGTTAAGCTTACAGTCGGGTCGCTGAAGAAGGAACCCTTTTCGTTGGGGAGGGGCTCCGTGTTCCTGAAGTGTTTCACAGCTTGCCTCAGGTTTTCCTTATGTTTCCGATGGGGAAACGAAGTTTAACTTGTGGAGCAATAAGGGCCTCGTTCCTGATTTGGGGTTCCGTAGGTCAACGCCCCGACTGTATGGGACAGTCGGGGCCCGTTCCTGATTTTGGGCTCCTTTTGGGTCAGCGCTCCGGCTGTCCCGTGAGCGTGTGCTGCGCCATGAGGAGGGGGGGGGGCGGAGGCCGCACCTCGAGCCCCGCGAAGGCCTCTGTCCAATGTTTAACTCGGGCATGTCCCTCTACAGGACTGCTCCTGCTCCTCCTCCTCCTCCTGCTCCTCCTCCTCCTCCTGCTCCTCCTCCTCCTCGGGGGAGCAGTCAGAAACAGTCAAGAGATAGTATGGGGACGATGTTTTGGACTAGCTTTGAATCTGCATTGCTACCTGTTCAATATCTCTATCTTGTCGCCCAGAATCCGGCTGCAGGAGGACATGCGCTACCTAGGCCTGATTGAGCAACGTTCCAGAAGCGCCAGCTCCGCTGCCCTTTAGCTGCGACGGTCTTGCGCCCCTGAGGACGGGAGGAGGCGCTGGAGGACGGGAGAACGACGCCCATCAGAGATTTTGAGAACAAGCAGCAATTTCCATGGGCTCCCGATTTCGTGCGAGAAAGCTACGAAGCTGGCCTGGAGCCTGGGCGTTTCTCGGGGCTTCTCTTTCGTCGAACTTTCGTGTATCTGGGCCTGGGCTACGGTTTGAGAAGACGCTTGGGGCGACGTGCATTGTCTTAGCGTAAAGTCTTCTTATTTCTCAGCAGGGGTGCACACGAGGTCCGCACGGAGTTTTGTTGGATCGGCGCTGGGCCTCCCCTGGCGGCGCCTCCCGCGCCGCCCCTGGCGCGCTCCGCCTGCCGCCGGGCAGAGGGCTGCAGCACCGATCCGCGAAGTCCGTGCGGGCCTCCGAGAGATCACGTGATGTCTGTGCGTTTGTCCCCGCTGCTCGTAGACGCACTCGGGCACACCGCGGCCCGGTGCCGCGGTTGGCTGCACGCCTCCGCAGAGGGCTCTCGGGCGCCCTCGTCGGCTCCGGGAGGTCCTCCTGCCCAGGGCTGCGTCCCGGCAGCGCGGCGCCTCGCTGAGGGTGCTTCCGCCTCGCAATCCTCCCGCGATCCCTCCTCCTCCTCCTCCTCCTCCTCCTCCTCCTCCTCCTCCTCCTCCTCCTCCTCCTCCTTCCTCCAGACCCTCCATCGTTGAGTTTCTTTCCCCGCATCCTGAGTGGGGTTCTTCTTTTCCTAGAACACCCTCTCCTTTTCCTTCTCCTCCTCCCTCTCCAGACTCCATACCAATTCATATCACACCGCCTACCATACCATGCCACTCCTACAATACCAAAGCCATCATACAATACCACAGCTACCATACCATACCTACCACTCCAGGGAAGCCACGCAGGAGCGAGGACAGCATCGGGATATCATACCATTTACAAGGTTCCGTGCCCCCCCCACCCCACCACCCCTCCAGGGAGGCCTCGCCTGAGGGAGGCGGGTATTCGAAAACCATGCTGTTTATCAGATTTCGTGCCCCTACTACTCCAGGGAGGCCCCGCCAGAGCGAGGAGGGTATTCGAAACCCATACTGCCTCAAGGTTTCGCGCCCCTTCCCACCCTTCCAGGGAAGCTCCGACAGAGCGAGGAGGCTAACCCCCCGCTCTCCTTGCCTTACTTGCTCTCCCGCCTTCCCCTCCATCGACTTTTCTCTTTTCCCCCCTGCTTCTCCCTCACCCCTTCCACCATTGTTCCCTTGTCCTTCCTCTTCCACTTCCTGCCTCTCCCCTCAACGTCCTCCCTCTCCGATTGCTCGTCCTTCTTCCTTCCTCATGCTCCTCCTCACCATCTTCCACTTCTCCCTCTTCACCTTCCCTCACTCTGCACTTTGTCCTCTGCTTCGTCTACGTTGCCTCCTCCTCTTGTGCCCCTCTTGTATGCCTTTCGACAGCATCGCTCTCGTTTCCCCGCTCTATCTATCTTCCTACACCTTCTGCGTTCCCCCTGTAAGTCCGCCACCCAATGAAACCCCGATGTGGGGAACTCCTCCTCTTTTTCCTCCTCCTCCTCCTCCTTTTCCTCCTCCTCCTCCTCCTCCTCCGAGCTCCTCCTCCTCCTCCTCCTCCTCCTCCTCCTCCTCCTCCTCCTCCTCCCCCTCCCCCTCCCCCTCCCCCTCACCCTCACCCTCCCTCCTGCAGACCCTCCATCGTCGAATTTCTTTTCGACGACGCGCCACCCGCAGATTGCTATGTCCCGGGGGCCGGCTTGTTCTTGGTTGCTGGCTCCCACGCCCGAGAGCGGTGACCTTGCCTGGGAGTGGGTTAGAAGCCGGGCCTCACCAGATCACGACGTCGGGCATTCGAGTTGCGATTATCCTTCTCCTCCTCCTCCTCCTCCTCCTCCTCCGCCTCCTCTTCCTCCTTCTCCTCCTCCTCCTCCTTCCTCCTCCTCCTCCTGCGGTAGCTTCGCGTCGTGCCGACTGGCGGCGACCCCGCCGCCGGCGTTCAACGTGGAACGCCGCGCGTGGCCCAGTCGATGTCGAACGATCGGTCCTTTCGGAAGCGGCCGACTGCTCCATGTTGAAGGATCCGCGCCGCGTCGGGAACCAGCGCCGGGGTCGTCACGGCGCGAACCCGCGGTTCCGATTCTCCCCGTCCTCGTGGTTGTCCCCCTGCCCCAGGCCTCGGGCTGCACGGGGGCCTGCGCTTCCTGGACTGGGACGCCTGCTGGGACTACGCCAGGGGGCGCTGCCGCCACGGCGACAAGTGCAACTGGAGGCCGGGAGGGAAGGGTTGGTGACGGATTGGGGGAGGAGGAGGAAACCAGGGATGAGGGAGGAGGAGGAGGAAAGAAGGGGTGACGGACAGGGGGGAGGAGGAGGGAGAGGAGGATGAAGGGGATGGGGGAGAAGGAGCAGGAGGAGGATGAAGAAGAGGAGGTAGGAAAAGGAGAAGGGGGACGAAGAGGAGGGGGAGGAGGAGGAGGAGGAGGAGGAGGAGGAGGAGGAGGAGGAGGAGGAGGAGGAGGAGGAGAAGAAGGAGGACGAGGAAAGGCAGGAGCAGGAGGAGCAGGAGGCGGAGGTAGACGAGGAGGAGGAGGAGGAGGAGGAGGTGGAGGAGGAGCAGGAAGAGGAGGAGGAAGGCAAGGAGGAAGAAAAGGAGGAGGAGGAGGAAGAGGAGCAGGAGGAGGTCGGAGAGGACGAGGAGGAAGAGAAGGAGGAGGAGGACGAAGAGGAGGAGGAGGAGGATGAGGATGGAGAGGACGAGCAGCCCCCGTCCCTGTAGGCCGTGCGGCACAGCCCACACCCCCAAGCCCTCCCCGCCCGCGTGCGGGCCAGGCACGACGACAAGGGGCCGGAGAAGGCGGACCGGCCGGCCGAGGCGGAGGACCGGGAGGGGCAGGGCGGCGAGGTCCAGACATGAGGCGCTCCAGAACAAGGGCCTTGCCTTCGAGGATCGAAGGAGTTGCCATCTGCTCCGCGGCGGGAGGCGGCGGAGGGCGGCGGAAGTGAAACGACGGCGGCTCCGCCGGCGGAAGCTCTGCGAAGGCCGGCGGGAGCAAAAGTCTACCTCCCAAGAGAGAGTTGGGGTCAGGGTTTCCGGAAGCGGCCACCTTCAAGCAGTGGCGACGCGTTCTGGCTCGCCTACAGGCCCACCAAATATTGCTCTAAGAACCTTTCCAAATATTGTTCCAAGAACCTTTTGTGGTTTGCACTACATGTTCTTAGAACATTTCTGGCTGGGACCGTTCTTTTATAACACATCGGGCGCATGTTCTGAGAGCAGCGCTATTGTTCTTAGAACATGTTTGGGGGGTTCAAAGAACATGTCGTGGTAGGCCTATAGGAATGCGGGGACGGTCGGTCCCTTCTCAACACCTTCATGAGGGAACAAAACACACAGACACAGGTAATCGTCGATGTTCAAGAAAAGATGGGAACATCTGGGAAGTGGGTGGGAAGATTGAAACCCAGAAAATATGAAAAATTATTGGGGATCCTGTTTTTTGTGTGTAATTATTTGTGTGTCCCAGGGCCCCTTCAGTAAACGCAGTCCCCTGGCTTGGTCAGCGAGGCATCCTGACACCACGCCCTGGCCCCCCAGGGGGGCCTGGCCAGGGGCAGTGGGCATGCACGGATGTCAGCCGGGCCTGTCCCTCTACAGGAGGAACATCCCAACATAAGCAACAACTAGTCAGGGGTCGATTTGTTGATTATTTGTTGACTATGTTCTAGTTGTCGTCAAAATCCGCCTGCAGGAGGACATCTCGGGGAGCGGGGTTCTGCGGTCAGGAGCTTTGGCTCATCGTGTCGCGCAGCCAGATCTGGCCCACCGCGCTTCGGCGCGATACGCTATCCGCCTCCCAGCCCCCCGGCGTCAAGGCCCTGAGCCTCTCCCGGCCTCCCGCCCCACGGAGCGGAGCGACACGCTAGCCGCCGCCGCCGTGACACGCTGAGCAAAGGCTCCTGACCGTAGACCCCAGGGCTCTCCCCATGAGTGCAGTCAGCCCGCAGAGTAAGGATGGGCAACCTTCCCAAGGGTAATTACCCTTGCATCCTTGTCTCCTCGGCCCATCCTTTGGCCACCGTCGCTGGCCGCGCCTCGTTCGAGAAGCTCCGACATGGCCTTGGCATCGCTCGGACGTGTGCATTTTCCTTCGGCGAGGACCATCGAGGAGCATCCGTGGTCATTTGGCGAAAAATCCACGCACGAAACCGAAAGAAACACAGGGAATGGACATCCGAGCGATGGCCAGTGGCCTGCCAGGGCCCTGGCATCCTTACCTCGCGCGTCCTTATATGACACGGGTTGGCCGCAGCTTCTGGTCGGCCCCAGGGGGGAGGAGCCCGAGAGCGTGAGCGCGACGAGAGGCCTCCAGGGCCCGGCGGCCCCCGCGGGGCCCCCTTTTGAGGGGTCCCCCCCCCCTCTGGCTCTTCGCGCCTCGGCGCTCCGACTGGGGGATGCCTCTCGTGTTTGCTCGGCGCTCTCGTGGAGCCCGGGGCCTTCGGCAGAGGGGCCCGTGCTCTTGACCCACGTGCTCTCGTGGCCCTGTTCCGGCTGCACAGCCAAGGCGCCTCTCTCGGGGCCCCCCGAACGGTGCGGTGAGCACACCGTGCGGTGAGTCGGTGGGGATTCGGGGTCACCGCACGGTTTCGGGAGTCGGGTCGTTCTCCGAGGGCGTCTCGGGCGACAGGGGCCTCCAGGGTCCCAAGACCGTGCGGTGACGGACCGTGCGGTGAGGTCTCTTGGGGTTCCGAGGTCACCGCACGGTCGGTCACCGCACCGTTTCGGGACTCCAAAGTCTCGGCCTCTCGGGAGGGGGGGAGGCTCTCCGGAGGGGGGGGGCTCTCGGGAGGGGGGGCTCTCCTGGTCTTCGGTCATTCGCCTTAGGTCTGGCATGCCCTCCTACAGGCGGATGTTGAACGAACGGTCAACACTGGTAAGAAATATAAGAAAATCGTCAAAAGATCGCCCCCCCCTGACGATTTGTGTTAACTGTTTTTGCACATTTCTCCTGTAGAGGGACATGCCCGACTTACCCCTCGGATCCAGGATTTGGGCGGCCCCTTCGTGGCCGAGGCTCGCAGTGGTGGCCCCCCACAACAAGGACCCGCCGCTCCCGATCCGGCGCTCCTTCTTACAGAGGGGCCCATGCCGCCAGGAAGTACCCTGCTTGGCTCCAGGGTGCCCTGGCCTTCCTGGGGTTCGATGGTCTTGCTCTGGAGCAGGGCTGGACCCAAACGGTGTTTTTGGTGATTTCGTGGGTCGTTTTCGTTTCGACCTCGTTTTGCGGTAAAGGTGGATTCGAGTCAAACGCGAGGGAAAACAAACACGAAAAACACCCTTTAGGTTCAGCCCTGCTGTGGAAGGCGTGACGCACCCTCACCAAAAGTCGATGGACGTCCTGGGG